AATCGAGCGTCACATTCTTTTTTAATAAGGAAACCTTTGTCAACCATAATTTGAGAATGAGGTGGAACTTTGTCAAGATATGCACTTAAATTAGTAATTGCTTTGTCTGAGATAGATCCTCCATAACAATGAGACAAAAACATTATTGAAGAATTAGGAGCTATACAAACAAGAACTTTTATTGTGTTATGGTGCTTGTATTCACTCCATGTTAACTTTTGTAGATCTGGATTTTTGGGAGTTTCAATAAAAAATTCTGTAGCGTCCATAATAGAATGCAGATTTTTGTAATTTATAAAACGATCTGGGCGAGTATTTACAATGTTACCTTTATCAGGAATATAAACAATCGGGGATAATACTGCAGAAGATGCTTTAAGCCAAGAAGATATTACAGAACTAATTAAAGCTTCTGAAACCTTAAACCTTTCTGCTAAATCTCGATTTAATAATCCAAGACGCATTTTCATTAAAAACAAAAGAAATTCTTCTTCGCTTAACAGCTTCCTCAGAGGCCCAAATTGCTTTGGTGCTTTTTTAAACTTTCTTGAAATAGGAGTAGTGTTTAGTGTACCACGCCAACGCCTGCGAACAAATGGTGAAATGATATTATGAAGAGATTTAAACTCTGCTAATGTTTGAACCCCAGTAAAAAAGTCACAATCACTATTTGTTTTCAAAATGCGATTTGAAACACTTTGCTTACAAATGCACTTGGTGACTTGTGTATGCAAAGTATAAATATCTTTAGAGTTTTTTAAATAAAGTTTCTCAAACATATTTGCTTTTTTACGAAATGCTTTGTTTTTGCTCCTTAGATAACCATTTTCTTTTCTTAATCTTAAATTTTCAAATAATAAGTCATTAGCAAGGAGATCATTACTACTGCTATCCAAAATAGTTTGTTTAATATCTTTTTTCAAATTTATCTTCTCGTGTCATTCAATGATTCATCGTGTATGTCTTGTAATGATTCATCATGTAGGTCTTGCAATGATTCTTTGTGTAAGTCCTTCAATGATGTATTAATAATAGAAAAATCTACATAACTTTTGTCTTCTGTATTTTTAAAATTTGATGATGACAAGAAAAAAATGGAATCATTAGTAGATTTTAATGTTGAATTCAATGGTAAAAATGATGTTGCAGAAGAAGATTGCAAAGCACAAGATAGTAAAGAATCACAATTTAACTCTAATTTTTTATTTACTTGCGATCGTAGAGATTGTGCAGTTAAAATAGTTTTGATTTTTTTGGATGAATCGTAACCAAGATTAATAATTGGATATGGATTTTCTACAGATGGTTCACTATCAACAAAATGTTTAGAGCATACTCTGTGGTTGGCTCCAATTTTGCAGTATTTATTTCGACGTGTAGGGCTTTGACGGTTGATTAGTTGCTGCCACTTTAAACGCTTTTCTGGCAATTTTTTTTCTGATGGAAATACAAATAATCTAAAAAGATAAAATTTATTCAATTACAAATTTATAGCTTATAATTTATAAATACAAATGATTTTAGTACATATATATATATATATATATATATATATATATATATATATATATATATATATATATATATATATATATATATATATATATCTTTTATTATTATTTATTTATAAGTTTTATATAAGTTTCAAGCAATTGGGCATTCAAAGTTGTCATACCCCACTTTTATACAAATTTTATATTCTGTAAAAAAAATCACAATAAAGAAGTCATCTATCAGGATCTTTAATAGAATTTCCTGATTTACACTCCTTATATTATGAGTTAAACACAGTCGTTCTCACTAACCAATGGTTTTTTTTACAGAATATAAAATTTATATAAATGTGGTTATAGCTGATGATGAATAACCAGTTACCATCTATAAACAACAATATAAAGACATGAAAAAAAAAAAACTAATAATAGATGGATACCATCTACATCAACAACAATATAAAGACAAGAGAAACAATGGCTAATAACTACAACTATAACAAAATCGAATCAAATTTCTTCGACTTTTTTCAAGCATATTTATATGTCATGGAATAGGGGTATATAATATCTTTTGTGTATAAATTTTTTGTTTAGAATTTGTATATATATTGGAGAAATACAGAAATATTGTAGACATATTACATAGGCATATTGTATAAATATAAGTAGACATACTATGGAATAAGGTATACAATATATGCCTACATATCAATAACAGCGTGCCATACATGGCTAGTACTAGCCATGAAAAGGCATGAAAAGGCATATATTATGAAAATAAATACATACTATAGTATGTATTTATTTTCATGAAAGTAACTACATGTCATTTTTTTAAGGCTACTTAAGACCATGTTTTGCCCTAGGCCTACAAAATGTCTTATTTGGCTATGTAGGTATTATATTATATAATAATATTAATATTATATAATATATTAATAATATAAACAAGTATAAAGTGAATTATATGTTACATATTATGTGTAGACATTATGGAATAGGGGTATATAGTACCTAAATAATAATGTAGGAAGATATTAATAACATATGTATATAATATTATTATATACAGATATTATTAATATCTTCCTACATTATTATTTAGTTACTATATACCCCTATTCCATAATGTCTACACATAATATGTAACATATAATTCACTTTATACATGTTGTAGGAAGATATTAATAATATCTGTGTATAATATTATTATATACAGATATTATTACATTATTATAGGTACTATATACCCCTATTCCATAATGTCTACACATAATATGTAACATTAATTCATTAATTCACTTTATACATGTTTAGCCAGATGTTTAAATTTTAGATAAATAACATTATATGTAGTATACATACTTGTAAGGTTCCGAACATCTGCAAGTCAAACTGCTTCTTAAGACCTTGTGTAACTCACAAAATTCATTGCGCCAAAGCTCAAGATTATATTGGCTACTGCTGCAATCAAATACAGCACATCCCATTGATCGTTTTCTTTTCAAACTTTGAGGTTTCATGTTTAAAACAATTAAAAATAGTAAAAACTAACTAAAATAAATGACTTTCTTCTGTAGTTTATTAGTACAAATCAAACTCTTTCATGCGATTCTGCGCACAATGAACAATAACAAACTATTTAAAAATGCGCGCGCACGAAATTATCGAAACTGTGAAGAGGTGTATTCCATCCTCCATCAAATATTTTAGTGCTTCTGAAAATCGGCCAGAATAAGGACGCGGCCAGATTTAGGCCGCTTTACCCTATCATTGACGTCAAAGTAGGTCGATGTTTTCGGTGGCCGTTAACTTTTTTATTTGTTCGAGTTAATACAAAGCAGCAAATAATTGCACGAGGAAACGTAATATTAAATACTAAAGGCCGTTTTCCACAAGACGAAAAATTCGCGCGAAGCGAATTTTTTCGTCGTTAAGCATGCGCAGATTAAACGTTTTTAGCGATTATATTATTTTTAGCGATTATTTTATTTCGCTGCAGCGAAAAAAAAAGTCGGATTCATTTCGAATCGCCATAAGCGAAAACCAATCAAGTTTTGAAAATTATATCACGTGGTGTCAACATTAAAAAAAGCGAAAACATGTTTTTAAATTAACAATAAACAAAATTCTTAACCTAGGGTTCTTATTAATTTTATATGAACTTACTCTTAAAATTGGCAAGCATGAGTAAATTCATCAAACAAGGGGCAAGACTTACATAAAAAAAATGACCAGATTTATATAGAAAACTAAATTGAGAATTTACAAATATAAATTTTCACACTATCAATAACAAAAGTTACACTTCATAAGAATGTTTATCTTCAAGTGGCCACACGAAGATAAACCTTTTTTTGAAAAATTCTACATAGAGTTAAACTTGCTGTTCCTTCTTGCAGTAACAGTTTTTTAATCGAAATGTTTATATCAGAGTTTAGCATTTATTTTTTTATACTTGCATGTAAAAAAAACCTTATATTAAATGATTATATTACAAAATAATATCACATCTCACTTAAAAAGGCAGAAATGTTAATATTAATGCACGGAAAGAAATTTTCACATGCTTCAAACTAGAAAGTATGCTAAAAAAGTAATAACTGCCTTTAATTTAACATGCAACGTAAACTTATTGTTGACAATTTTTTTGTTGACAACGAAAAAAAGTAGCGCGAAAGAAAGTAAAACAGCGTTTCGTCATAGCGAAAAAATTCGCTTCGCGCGAATATTTCGTCTTGTGGAAAACGGCCTTAAGGATTATTAAAGCAAACAAAAACAAAGATTATGGATTTATCTATGTGTGGCGAAAATTTAATTTCTGAAATAAGCTCTGATGAAGAAAGCGGAAATATAAAAGGTAACTTAATATATAAACATTTTCAGTTTAATAAATGCAAAATTTATTACATTTTTTTTTGTTTATAACAATGTTATAAACAAGATAAATGCAATAAATAATTATATAGTTATTAACATATTTTTTAATTTAAAAGTCGATGAACAAAGTTTGAGTATCATTGAAAATAATTGTTTACCTACACGTGATATTGTTTATGGTATGTTTTTAGTCACTGTTACCGTACAAAAACTGCCAGTTTTTTTCTTATTTCTTCTATAGGAAAAAAAAAAAAAAAAAAATGGTGTCAGTAGCATATATATGTTATTTAAATGGACAACACAAGAACAATCATAACAAAAAATTGTCATCATATAGAATTTTTTTTTGCAATTGTTTGTGATTTAAAATTATTATCTGAAGTTTAAAATTAGTTAGTTTTTTGTAAGATAAACTAAGTTTTTCTAGCAGTCAACAGTTAAATTGACAGTACATTAAGTGCTAGGTCTAGTACTCTAATATAGGCTTTTTTTTAAGCCTAAAAAGTTCTTTACTTATTTTTTATTTAAAGTTCTTTATTTAAAGTTCTTGAACACATTTATTAAACTTTTTTCTAATGATATCATAAAACTTTATACAAAGGTTTATGGTATCATTTAGTGTGCCTTTTTTTTGTTGTTGTAAGAAATATTCAAAATAGTTTTTATAGTCTATTTTCATATTCACTGAAAGTATACTGATCAATTTGATTTTAATTTTTATAGAAGGAAAAAAAAATTAGTTTATCATTGTAATTCGCATGAAGAAGCATTAAACTGTGTGAAAAAATATGAGTTAGCAACTACAACAAGATTTCTTGTCTATAGTGTAACTAAGGACTTTGGAATAACAGGTAAACTATAGTTTGTTGTGACCTAGTTTTGAAAAAAAATCATTTTGCATTACACAAATATTTGCAATGTAAAAGCAATGATTTCGTGACATGTTTTTTTGATTAACATAAAATTACTTGACTTAAATATGAAAATAGTTTCTTTAAATGCAAGATTAACTTTATCATAACTAAAAATATTAAAAATGATAATCATTCTCATTTCGTCATTTGTTTTTAATTCATTTAATATTTCTAGAAATCCTAAGAGTTCATAACATTTTTAATGGTTTTTATGAACTAAATTTAGGTATGTGTGTAAAAATTTTAAATTGTTTAAATATCAGATTGTTATATATCGTTGGAAAGAATTTTGAAAAAATATTCCAAAACTGAAAATTTTATCAAAATCGGATGATTCTATAAAAAGTTATGAGCATTATAGTGACGAAGTTTGATTACAAGGATTCCTTGACAAAAATGTGACCAATTTATAATGGTTTTTTTAACTTAAACCGCCTCAAAATTGTCAATGCTTATCTAAATGCATATAACTTGGTATCAAAAGATAGGTGTAACATTGGGCTACAAACTTCATTTACTTTTAAACACCTGTTCGTATTCAGGGGGCTAGAGGGGGGACAGAAAAAACATCTTTGCTATCAAAAAATTCACATTTCTTCCATAAAAGGTTTTTTTTTAATATAAAACTAGTAATTATCATTAAAAAAGTAGTTATTTTTTTATTGGCAAGCAAGTATTAGTATTTGTATTTTATGAAGAAGGTGGATGTGGTGGTAATGGTACACACCCTAGTACCGAAAGATTTATTCTTATAAATATTTTTATCATTAATAAAATGAATAAAAATAATATAAAAAGTTGTTGAACATTTATTTTGAAAGTATACAAGTAAAACATGTCCTTTAAAACATACCTGATATGAAAAAGGTAGTTCAAGATACTCTGATTTCAGATGATTCAACATTAAATATTTCTTTGACATTTTAAAAACTCTTGGTACAAGTGTAAAAATTTAATTATATTATTTAGAGCACTAAACTCTAAATAAATAAATTATATTTATTTAATATAGAGTGTAAAATAAATAGTGAATAATTCACAAAATTTTATTGTAACATGTTTAATAATATTAATGCTGCATGTTTAACATGTTGCAATAACCCTTTTTGTGAGAGAGTTTTTGTAGACGTTTATAACTTATAGTATAAGTTATGAACGTCTACAAAAACTCTCCTTCAAGAATATACTATAAGTTATAAAATAACAAAGCAAATATAATATATAAATATTTATAATTCTATGCAGTACATAATATATATATATATATATATATATATATATATATATATATATATATATATATATATATATATATATATATATATATATATATAATAAATGTAATATATTAAATAAACTATTACAATTATAATAATTTTAATAAAATATAATAACTATTGCAATAGTATATATAATATATATAGTATATATTATATATACTATTGCAAAAAATATATTTTAATCTTATTAATGAGTAAATAATGATGCAAATACTTGATAAAAATAGTTTAATACTTTGAAAGAATAATCAAAAATATAACTAAAAGTATAACCAAAAAATTATATATCTTCAAAAGATTTAAAAAGGGTTCTTTTTAAGAATCCACAAATGTCACTAGGTTGCTTATAGAAAAATAGCAAGTTAATAAATATACTTTTTGCACTAATCGGAATATCAAAAAATATCACGTGACTACAAGAAATGAAAAAATGCGAACTCAGCGTAACAAGGCAAGAAATCCAGCATTTCATAGAAATACCTAGGGTGCTTGGGGAAACCCAAAACCAATGTGCGCTACGTCTGATTACTATAAAAATTGTACCAATATTAGACAAATAAATGATCTACAATACCTTAAAGTTTCATAAAGTACCTGCCATAATTTACAGAGCTGTGATTCTTAGAAAAAATGTGTTAATTTACGATTTAAAAATATATATGTTTTTTTTTTGTAAAGTATTCTAAAAATGTATCAAAATTTAGAAAAACCTTTTTTCTAATTAACTCCAAAATTTAAAAAAAATTGGTTGATAATTAGCGGTACAGTGTCGTTTGCCCTAATATGTGTCTTGGCCAAATTACAAAAGTCGGGTCACAGATTTTAGCTCGCGTTTTTACGGCAAATTACGAACTTACGCACGTACCTACTAAATTGTGCTGAATAAATATATGCCAAAGTTAGCATTATATATCTATAATGCAGAATAAAATGTTTTATTATATATATATATATATATATATATATATATATATATATATATATATATATATATATATATATATATATATATATATATATGTTTTGTTTTTTTAAGGTTGTAATAATATACTTATATATAATTATAAGGTTGTTAATATATATAAGTAATAATATACTTATATATAATGATAAGGTTTTGATAATAATAATAATAATAGTATACTTTTTTATAATAAATTTGTTTGTGTTGCTTTTAAATAATTTTTTAATAAGTTTAGTCACATTCCAAAAACTATATATATTTTTTTATAGAAATGGTTGCAAAAAATCATAATGTTCTATGGGAAGATTATGCCATTCAGTATTCAGGCATACCTCATATGGTTGTTGGTCACAAAATTTTAGATTGTCACCATGGTTTTGATAGGAATATTTCAGAGAAAAATAGTTATAAAAAAAATTTCAAAAAATGCCAAGGTAATGTTATCACTTTTTTCTTTCATACTCAATTAAATTTTTTTTTCTTGTTTCTCTAATACCATAGAGTTTAAAAAAACAAAACAAAAAAAAAAAACATCACTATTTTAAACAAATAAACAATATTCCAAAAGTGATGCCCATTAAATAAAAGTCTTCTTTTATCATTTGTTTCTTTTAGATGGATGATCACAGCTTTCAAAAAAATTATGTGATTCTGCAAGATACAAAAAAGTTTATGTGTCCTTCAAAGATTGTTATGAGAGAAATATTACAATTTCCTGATTTCAAGGTTTGAGTAACTAAATTATAGGTAACATGCCTTTTTTAATTTTGTAATCTATGGTGGTGTGACCTAAAGCAGCCCTGAATTGGATTTAAGGATCCCCTAAGGTTAGTGGAAAGATGTATCTTTCTAAAAATATGCCTTTATTGAAACAGGATTAAGTTTTAGGTGTCTCACTCAACTTTCTTGACTAAGTCCCTCTATAAACCCAGTTTAGTCCTTATTGTTTTTGTATTATTGTTTTAACTTAGATACCTAAGCATTCAGCTTGGCACAAAAAAAAAACATCAAAACTATTGAAAGAAAAATTAAAATTGTCATGTTTAAATGAAGTACCTTTTATTTGGAAAGTTGTTGTAGCTATTGATGATTTATCATGTCATGATAAACACCCTATTGGAAAGGTAAAAATAAAATTTTTGTATATACTTTGTACTTGCAAAAAGGTTAAAAACAGTACTGTAGTTTATTAATTAATTTACCATATTAAATATTATTTTAAATTAGGTAGAACTAATTTCTCAAATAATCGATCCTCATATTTCAAAAAAGATTGAAGAATATGTTATAGAAGGAATATACAATATAAGGGAAATGAAGCACCTCCTTCGTTTGACAGTAAAAGATACTTTTGAAAATGAAAATTTTCCTTCTTCAAATAGCAGAAGATTCTATCCCAACACTGCAACCATAAGATCAGATATAGTAAAAATTAAAAAAAAGTTACTGTAAATCACAAATGTTGATTATTTCTTAGAATAAATTATACATATGAAATGATTTGTTTTACTAATTTAGATGTTTACTTGATTCATGTTTAAAGTAATCTTTAAAACTTTCATTTTATTAATGTTGTTGTTTCTATTTATAAAGGCATTCCATGATTGAACAAGAATGTCTTTTGATAAAATGTGAAGAATGGAAAAAATGTGATCCGTCTGTCAAAGTGTTTCTTAGACCAAACTGTAGTGGCGAAGATGGTGGTGATAAATGTTCATTTTTATTTGTTTATCAGTCACAGTGGCAACAACACCTTCTCATGCGCTATGGAACTGAGATACTGCTACTTGATGCCACATACAGGACTACCAGATATTCTCTTCCTCTCTTCTTTTTAACTGTAAAAACTAATTTTGACTACCAAATAGTAGCCAGTTTTGTTATTGAATATGAAACAAAACAAGCCATCACAGAAGCGCTTCACATAATAAAAGATTGGAACCCATCCTTTCAACCTTCCTTTTGCATGACTGATTATTGTACTGAAGAAATGGATTTATTAGAAGCTGTTTTTTCAGGTATAAATAAAGTTTTTAATAATTTTCATTTGTTAATAAATAGTATGACAGTTTAAATATACATTTGAAAGTAAATAATGTAATAAATAAAATAAATAATGTAAACCATTTAATAGCGGTAGTGGTGTAGTGGTAGAGCGCTCGCTTCATAAACGAGTGGTTCCGAGTTCGATCCCCACCACGTCCCTGGTAGTACCGCGCTCAACTCGTTTCTCCGCGCAGCGGCCTTGTTCGTCAAGGTTCGTGTTTCGGAGTTATAGAGTTGAGAGAGGGTTATAGCCACGAATAAGTAGCCTCCTCGTCTGTAGTGGCCTTCTCAGCCTTGAGGAGGTGAATTAAAATAAAAATAAAAAAATAAAGAAAAAATAGAATATTTTGAACCGTTTCCTGTTGTCATTTTTTAGTTCACTTGAAACTCTTTTTTTTTCATTGTGTAACTCATCTGTATTTGTTTTTTCTTTATCTTATTTTAAAATATAGAGAATTATTTTTAGGTTGCCGTGTTCTTATATGTGATTTCCATAGAGAGCAGGCATGGCATCGCTGGATTGTCAAAAAAACAAACAACTGCTCAGAATTTAAAGACCCAATAATTTCAATGCTACGAAATATTGCATGGGCACAAAATGAAAAGATGGCAGATGCAGCAATAGTTAAGCTAAAATGTTCCAACTTTTGGTTGGCAGCAAATTTCATAAATTTAAGAAATATATTACTAATTATTGGTTACAAATTAAAGAAGTGAGTATGTATTTAACATTATAATTATTATCCCAAATTTAACATTATTTAACATTTTTTGCTATACATAACACAAGTATTGCAAATTTTAAAGCATTAGTTTATGGTTAAATTAAGTTTAATTTATACTCATGTCAATGTAAATCTGCAAAAACAAGTGTTATTATTTTTATCTAGAAATGGATATGGGGGTATCGTCAGGATCGATTTTTAGTAAACCTTAATACCAACAATGGAATTGAAAGGCAACATGAATCTTTTAAATATTCTTATCTTCAAAGACATAAAAATTTATCAATTACTGGAATGCTTACTCTTTTAATAGAAGAGTTTTTTGCAGATAAATTTGAGAAGTATATTAAAAAGTTTTATTGTAGCCTGATTTGAAGGAGTTTATATTAATTTTTTTTTTTTGCGTGTTTATATATATAAATATATTTATATGTGTGTGTGTGTATATATATATATATATATATATATATATATATATATATATATATATATATATATATATTAGTTAATTTATTTTTACTTATTTTTTAAGATATTCAGAATCTAATTACAAAATGGATTGTCGATTTAAACAATACAATTCTAATGTACCTAAGTACTTGATAAATAGGCCACACCATTTTATTAAACATTGTTTAGCGAAGCAAAATTTGGCTAACAACACTGATCTAAATAAAGTGCAAATGAAAGATCCTGGAGTATTTGTAGTCAATAGCTTTTCTATTGCAAACAAAATTACCTTGTTAACTTTGGGGATGAGAAGAACATGCCAAAATGTTCATGTAATGATTGGTTTAAATCTTCCTATCTATGCAAACACTTTTTTATAATTTTTAGAAAGTACCCACTAACATGGGGATGGGAGTTTATATCGTCTTTATATAGAAGTTCTCCATTTTTAAATATTGACACATTCACTAATGATTTTGTATTAAGTAAATCAAATATAATCAAGTGTAACCATGTGAATCATAATAGTTTCAACTTAATTAATGACACTATTTGCAGTACAACAATGATAAATCCATACAAAGATAGTACAAGTAAAAGAAGTTCTACAGCCTCTGAAGTCCGCGAAATGCTAGCAACCATAAAAAATTTAACATTTGATTTTGATGAATCATCAGAAGAACTATCTGATCTACATGAAACTCTTTTAAATGTACTTAAAAAGCCTTATCAAGCAAGAAAAAAAAGAAAGGTCTACCATTAAGCTCAGGTTTTGGTATGCATGAATATGTACACAAAAAACAAAAAAATATAGTTGATTTACCTGTTGTTAAAAAAATTTGTATTCCAATTGTGTGGGTGAAAAAAAAGACAAGTTGATGGTAGCCTCTATAATAAAAATTGAAAGTAATTTTTATTATAGAGGCTATGCACTGGTGCTTCTTATGAAGCACCAGTGCAGAAATCAATTATCACTGAAGATCAAATAACTGGTGAAGAAACTGTTAAAGAAAGCTAACCCTTATGCAAATGGACTTCAAGATCCCATATTGGGACAATTATTAAAGTTTGATGTTATTGGTTCTTTACCATTTGTACAAATTATATATAATGGGGATTACCATTGGCTTGCCATCAGTACATATGGTTGTTCATATGGTGAAATAAATGTGCTTGATAGTAATTTTCATGGGTGTTGTAATCTCATCTTTTTTGTACTTTAAAAGGGCACAAAAACAAATATGTGCCCTTTTAAAGTACAAAAAAGATGAGATTACAGTAAAAGTGCTTTCAGTACAGCAACAAGATGGTGGTATTGATTGTGGTTTGTTTTCAATAGCCTTTATTGAATTTATTTTATCACAAAACAGTTATCCTATAGAAGATATTTGGTTTGATCAAACAAAGTTAAGAAACCATGCCCTTTCCTGTTTAATAAATAATTTAATAACTCTTTTTCCACTTACAAATAGTGCAAGCCGTAGATGCTCTCCAAAGGAATTTAAATTAAAACTGTACTGTTCTTGCAGGATGATTTGGATTCCATCAGATAGAACAATATGTAGAAGGTTTTGTATTGCATGTTTTATGTTAGTTATGGAGTGTACATATAATGCTTGGCTAGTAAGTGATTGGGCCCCCGGCCCTGGCTAAAATCAGAGGTTTTTGCAAACCCGGCCCCGGCTAAACAAACAAAATTTGCAGGGGTTACTAGCCAGGGCTAACAAAAATAAATTCAACTATTTTCTAGTATTTATCAATTTCTTTACATTTAAATACTTGAATAGCTCAACTATGTAATTCTAATGATTAAAATTACAATTAAAAAGTTACTTACATTTTAAATGTAAATGCAATTTTACAATAAATTTATCTTATGAAATTTATTTTAGAATATTTTTTCCCACTGTCACATATTAACCCCGGTCGCTTATTATGCCTGGCTGCTTTGGTTGTAGCTGTAACTTTGTTTAATTTAATTAACTCAGAGGTGTACACTGGATTTTTAGATGTTTAAGTTTTGGCACTTATAGACATTGCAAACTTTGATTTTTGTATGTTCACGCTTATGTCAAATAAGAATGTTTTGCAAAGAATTGTGGTGATTGGAGTTTGGGAACAAAAAACCTCTAATTTTTGGGCCTACCCAGCCAATGTGGGAACAATGAGTTAGTAAAATATTTTCTTTACTATTTTTATCTAAATTTATATCCATTAACAAATTTCAAATTTCATGCAATAACATCTTTTTATGACCCTGCAAAGTTTACAGCCCCCTCAAATTACGGGCGGTTAAAACTTTATATAGTTACAATTTTAGAAAAATTAGAGATTATTGCATGATGAATATAAATTTAGATTAAAATAGTAGAGAAAATATTTTATAAACTCATTGCTCTCACGTTAAGGACTGGGTAGGCCCCAAAAATTAAAAAATTTTTGTTTCCAAGCTCGAATCAATGCAATTCTTTGCAAAACATTCTCATTTGACATAGACATGAGTATGAAAAAGTTTGTAGTTTGCACAATGCCTGTAAGTGTCAAAGCTCATACAACTAAAAATCCAGTAAAAATCTGTAACTATATATATATATGTGTGTGTATGTATGTGTGTGTGTGTGTGTGTGTGTGTGTGTGTGTGTGTGGTGTGTGTGTGTGTGTGTATTAAGGCCCTGTGAATCTGCATTTTTAGTTTCGAATCAATCAGGTCTTGATTTATGAATCAAATTGAATTACGAATCAAATCAGTAATATGAGGAAATCCAAATTTAACCATCTTTTTTCACACAAAAAAAATCTACTTAGAATTTTTTTTTTTTTTGCACAGAATAATTTTTAAGGGTTATTTGAAAGCATACTGCTTTCAAATAACCTTTACAAATTATTCTGATATTATTCTGATTTCAAATAACAATTACTTTCAATTACAATTACTTTACTCTGGGTGAGATACATAAAAACATTTTAATAGCATTTGAAGAGTTTGATATCTGAAAAAACAATAACATCCACAAAATAAATAGTGAATCAAAAAACCTGAATATTTTTTTTCGAATTGATTCGCAGGGCCCTAATATATATATATATATATATATATATATATATATATATATATATATATATATATATATCAGAAATATTGAGTGCTGTCGGGAATAAGAGAGACAGGCATTAGTATACTAGTTAGGATAAAAAAAAGATTATACACAAAAAATGAAAACTTATTTAAAAGGCTCATTCTTATTTGTAGGCAAATGGCTCAATGTTATACTTGTAACCATTGGTTTCATAAGAAATGCGAAAAAATCAACAATATTTCTTTTGAAAACAAAGATAAATTTTGGAAATGTCAAGATTGCTACAACTTGGTAAGAAACTAATGATTGTTATATAAATTATTAATAGCTACTGATTAATTATTAATAACTAATGCAACTAGCCTTATATATATGTAAACGAAGATCAAAATGAAAGGTTAGTGTACCTGGCCACAAAAATTTACAATTTGTCAAAAACTTGAAAACCTCAATTTTTTATTCCTTCTAAATATTTTCCCGAACAGAAGTGACTGTTTTTTTTGTGTTACAATAACTACTTGATACAGATAATGCTTTTGTAGTCAGAGTCATCACAAAATCTTGTCTGTTGTGCAATAAACAATGCTATTATTTATTATATATGTATTTCCTTTTTGTTCTAATTATTAGAACAAACATATATATAATAAATAATATAAAAAATAAGTATGTATATTGAGGTTAAGTAATAATTAGAAAAATCCATATACTATAACATATACTAATTAAACTAGTATTTGGATTTGTTATATTTATTACTTGACTTCAATTTACATACTTATTTTTTATTTCTTTTGGTTTTTCAGTTAAATTTTCCTTAACTATTTTTACAGAATATTAGTAACCAGGGTTGCCAAAAGGAGGGGGGGGACAAAAGGGACAGTTAGATATCCAAGGGCACCAAATGAGAAAAAGGTATCTTAAAAAAAGTCCCTCATCTATAACTTAGGGAGGTTTTAATAAATAGGGGTGCCGATCAGGGTTGCTATCCCAGGCGGTGTGACGGCTCTCGCCGCCCTGTTAGTAATCTTCCTTCATAAATTTAAATATATTTATTTTTTGTTTTTATAATTAATATTTGTTTTATTTTAGACTTCAACCATACACTAATCCTAATTCTTCATTGAAATCTAAAAAAACAGCAAAATCACGAAAATCTGTCAGGGTAAACGAAATAAAAAACTATATCAGACAATGCAATAGAATAAACAATTTAAAAAAACTGCCAAAAAAAAACGGTTATTTTCATAGCCACATATATTTAAAAATATTATTCTATCTGAGCGTTATGTGTTTGTTACAGAGTAACTGAAGCATGTTGAGTTTTTTATGTAAATAATTTTTTTATTATAATGCAAATCTACATGATACTCTTCTAAATGTGAAGATACCTAATGATAATGTTTTAATTGCATGCTCTCCTTTACATAAAGAAGATTCATTGACCAGATTAAGAAGACATTTTTAAACGGCTTTTTTAGACAAGCTAAAAAAAATTTATAGCTACAGATTAGTTAATAATTGGTCATATTGAACTAAAAAAACAAAAGTTTATGTTCAATTTCTTTTAATCAACAAAACCTTTAAATTTTTTTTATTGAATATCTCTTTATATTTACCAACATTATTTCATTTTAGTGTGGATACTGTTGAGAAACAGTCTGTTGGATACTGTTGCAAAATGGTTTTAATTTAGTAATTTTCAAGATTTGAAATTTACTTTATTGATCATTAACTAACAGTTTAGAAAAGAAAAAAAAATTTCTAAGGTAAGAATAATTTTGTTTATTGTTAATATAAAAAAATATTTTCCATATTAAAATATGCAAATGTAAGATGACAATTTTTAGCTAAAAATAAATCCTGGTGATATTA